GTTCCTATGGGGCAGGGATGCTGTGGTGAGGTGGGAATGTTCCTATGGGGCAGGGATGCTCTGGTAGGATAGGGACGTTCCTATGGGGGAGAGATGCTGTGATAGGGTTGGGATGTTCCTATGGGGTAGGGATGTACCTGTGGGATAGGGATGCTGTGGTGAAGCAGGGATGTTTCTGTGTGGCAGGGATGCTCTGATGGGGTTGGGATGCTCAGATGGGGCAGAGCTGCTCTGACAGAATAGGGATGTTCCTATGGGGCAGGGATGCTGTGGTGGAGCAAGGGTATTTCTATGGGGCAGGAGTGCTCTGATAGGATAGGGATGTTCCTATGGGGCAGAGGTGCTCCTATGGGGCAGGGATGCTCTGGCCCCACACGGTCCCCCTGTGCCGCGCTGTGCACACATTTGGAGCTGCTGCACCCGATGCAGGGCAGCAGGCACCCGTGACTGACAGTTCTGCTTAATTAGGGAGTTGTTATTTTATCAATTCCGAAGCGCTTGAAGTTTTCTGCTCCAGCTCACGCTCTGCACTTGTTAATGGGAAACCAACACCCTGCGCCAGCGCCGCGCCTGCGGTTGGGAAGCTCAGCTCTGACACCCGAAATCCATCTGGCAGCCGCTGGGCTGCGCTTCGCTGTCCCGCCCCACCTATGGGGCTGCAGTGCTGTGCTGGGGGTCCCATTCCCCCCCACCCCCCCAGGTGACAACGGCCGTGGGTCACACTGTGCTGCTCTGTGCTGGGCGCTGTGCTGCAGAGCGGCTGCTGTGTGTGCGTGCATGGAGCAGCCCTGCTTGCACACGCTGCTTTGCACACCCCTGCACGTGCATGCACAGAGCAGCGTGGCTTGCAAACCCTCCTTTGCACTCCTGCACATGTGCATGCAGGGAGCAGCTCACCTTGCACAAGCTGCTTTGCACACACCTGCATGCGTATGCACGGGGAGCAGCGTGTCTCGCACACCCACCTGCACGTGTGCATGCATGCAGCAGCTCGGCTTGCACACACCGCTCTGCACGCCTGCATGTGTGCATGCCTCCCTTTGCATGCTCTGCTTTGGGCATCCAGTTGTGCATGCATGGAGGAGCTTGCCTTGCACACGCTGTGTGCACGGGGCTGTCCGCGTGCGCTCCCACGTGTGTGCACAGCCGTGCATTGCATGTGGTGTGAGTGAGGGGAGCATGGAGATGGGGTTGGGGGGATGGGGGGCAGCTCTGTGCTGGGAGGAAGGGAAGGGAAGGGAAGGGAAGGGAAGGGGAAGGGAGGGGAAGGGAAGGGAAGGGAAGGGAAGGGAAGGGAAGGGAAGCACCCGAGACCCAAAGCCTGCACCCTGCACCCCAATTCTGCCCCCCCCACGCCATGAACCTAAACCCTGCATCCCAAGTTCTGAGCCCTCCATCCCACACCCTGCACACTGCACCCCCAACTCTGTACCCGATATTCCCTGCACTCAGCATCCTAAGCTCTTCATCCCAAACTCTCCACCCTTTGCACCCCGCACTCTGCCTGCTTCATCCTGCGTCGTGCCCCACACATCCTGCACCCTGCACCTCAGATACTGCTGGTGTTGTGGGGGATGACGGTGTGGGGCTGGGGGATGTCTGTATGGGCATGGGAGATGTCAGTGTGGGGCTGGGGTCTTGAGATGTGGAGTTGGGGGATTTGGGTATAGGGTTAGAGTACTTTATACCCAAAATAGGGATGAGGGACGGCACGATGTGGGGCTGGGGGATGAGGAGATGCGATGTGCAGAGCTTGGGGACTTGGGGATATAGGGCTGAGAGACATCAGTGTGGGGCTGGGGGCTGTCTATATAGGGCTGTGATCTTGGGAATGGGTGAGGCTGGGGCAGGTGGATGTGGGGCTGGGGGGGTGGGTGCACCCTGATGCTGGGAGCTGCTGAGGGTTGGATGGGATGTGACCAGTGTGTGACTTCAGGCTTGGAGCTGCTCAGCCCCACGGTCCCACAGCACTGCACCATCCCTACAGCCATGGGCTGAACTGGGGGGCATGGGGAGCCCCTGCCCAGGGAAGATGTGGGGCTGCTGTGGGGTGGGCTGAGATGGGGTCGTTCTGATTTTAATGCCGTGGGGCTGTGGTGCAGGAGCTGGGTGGCTTTGGGATGCGTGCTCCCCACTGTGGGATGGGGCTGTGGGCAGTGGGGGCGCAGAGCCTCCCGCCCCATAGAGTCAGTCTGGTGTGCTTTGGGACTGGTTTGTAGGATTTGGGGTCTGGCTGATGCATATTAGGGTCTGGACCATGGACGCTGGGGTCTGATCTGTGGACTTTGGGGTCTGGCCAATGGACAGGCTTTGCATTTTGGCCCATGGCTTTTGGGGTTTGACTGATGGATGGTCTTTGGAGTCTGGCTGATGGATTTTGGGGTCTGGTCTGTTGGCTTTGCGGTCTGACCTATGGATTTGGGCTCTGGCCAATGGGCTTTGGGATGTGGTTCATGGTCTTTGCAGTCTGGCTGATGAATTTGGGGATCTGGCCAACAGATGGGCTTCTGTGCCTGTCTGATGGATTTTGGGGTCTGATTCATGAATTTTGGGGATTCCCCCATGGATTTGGGAGTTGCGGCTGCTCCTTTTAAGGGCCCAGCCAATGTTCTTCTTTGGGATTGGGCCCATGGCTCTGATCCACGGTCTTTGGGGTCTGGCCAACGGCTGGACTTTGGGGTCCAGCTCCCCGTTCCTGCGCTGTGGGGCAGCGTTTGGGGCCGGAGGTGCACGGAGAGGCTGTGAACAAAGGCCCCATTGAGGCACGGCGCGGCGCAGGGAGCGGATCAGGAGCCCGGCCAGGAAAAACAGCTCCGGGAGTGGGAGCACAGCGTGTCCCTGGCTGCGGCCTCGGCCCTCGGTACATTCTGTAGCCGAGGAACCTGGCGCGGGACGCGCTGCACCGCCGCCAGCTCCACGCGCCTGACCCAGCGCCGTGGGCAACCGCTGCGCAACGCCGTGGGGTCGGACCTCCAACCCCCCACCCCGCGCTATGGGGCCGGGGGCTCCCGACCGTGGGAGGGGGTAGGAAGGAGGAGGAGGGCCGGCAGCCAGCGGGTGGGCGCCGTGCCCGGCCGGCCGGGGATGCTTTGCAGG